AGTGTCACCATGCCAGCTGACTGTATTTCATCATCAGCCAGTGTTGTTCTTTATACATCAATATTACCAAAGTGTACCATAAGGCAGCATAGAAAGTATTTAGTTGCTTTCAGGTTTCATTCAAATGTTAGTCTTTTCATTTGTTTCCCCACTTTTTTCCTGTTTCAAAATCAAACACCAGTTTGTGAGAAGATTATCTCCTTTTTTTAATAGGCAGATCAAGTTTTGCATTGGCATTGGCTAATTTGCCAATTGTATGTTAAAAATGTTTGTATTTTAATATTCAAAAATGTTTTTGCCCAAAACATATGCGCACTATATGTCAGTAAAAATACTATGCAAATATTGCTGTCCTTGAATGCTGAATAAACACTGACAGAGCACTGATTGTATCTCTTGTACTTTATCAACACAATATCTAAAAACTTTGCACCATAGTGGTTAAAATCTCATTCTAATAAGAGTTAAAAGCTAATTCAGTTATTAGGTTTATAGGGTTATTGAATTATGGTTAACGTTTGATAGATTCTTTTTAACATTATCTGCCAATTACATCTGCCACCCTTTTCCAAATCTGTGCCCCTACCTGGCCCCGCCAACAAAAATTTTCTAGACACGCCACTGTGAACAGAATCAACTTTTGGGGATTAACCAGAAGATATAAAACAGAAAAAAAAACTAGTTAAAGCCTGTGTGAAGCCAGGCCAGGAGAGTATTTTTTTTTTATCACATAGCCTGTTATTTTTTCTTTTGTCTTTCTTGCAGCTACCCTCATATTTACATGGACAAACAAAACGACTAAAACTTTGAATAGATTTTTCAGTTACATAAAACAGGAACAAAAAAAAAGTTGAGTAGGGGAATCACTATAAACATTTACAATGTTTACTAAGACAGGCTGAGGGTATCATTATCTTGGTAAGGATAGACCGTGGGTTTGTAGCTATGCAAAGAAAGGCCTTCCCCAGAAATGGGGCCAGAGACAGCCTACACCCTGGATTGGTCACCAATCTGCTGCTTGGCTAACACATAGAGACAGACAACCATTCACACCCCATTACACCCATGACCAGTACCTTAACATGTATGTCTTTGGAGGCAACCTAGAGAGAACCCACACGGGCTGAGGGAGAACACTGTCTGAAGGATTCAAACCCTCTTGCTGTGGCTAAGCTAGGTCACAGTAAATGGAAAATGGTTCTTATACAGCACTCACAGATTCTATGCTTAAGTGCTTTCTGTTCAATATTCACACTCAGGGTTTGCATCTTAGCCAAGGACATGTGGGGACTGAACCACCAACCGTCTTCCCTAAAAGTAGCGTCAGCTGTATATGACATCTGAGAAATCACAAATTGGGAGACCCTTTAAAGCAGCACCAATGTAGTGGGATTCATAAATAAATGTTTGTTTGGAAAAACATCTACATTCCAACAAATGAATAAATATGAAAAATCATATTTTGACTAAAATTTAGTTTGAAACTCAATGATTATTCATCTTGTAGTCTCCAGCAGTGTTATATGACTGTCAGCATGAAAGAAATACAGAGCAATGCTCACCAAAATTTCATAGTCTGCAAGGAATCTATGACTTACCTTAATCAAATACTATCTGAATGTGGGCTAACATGTGGTTTACTTTGTCTGCTCACAACAAAGGACAAGTGTTTGAAAAAGGTAAACAAACAAGGAATATGTGGGAGAGCTCCAGATTTGACCTCACACTTTTACTGCTGTTTTTTTTTTTTTTTTTTTTTTAAATGTTCAGAATGGAATTTGTTCTTTTATGAAAATATCTCAGCACCAGAAACATTCAGGCACACGTCACACTTGGGAAGTAAAGCTGACCCTCTACCAGCAGAGGGCAGTCACGCATCGTTGTGGTTGGTGCAGACAAGGAGAAGAGTCCCGGCTTTTGACGTCACTTCATTTTCATTCTGAAGGACTTCCAAACTAGACTTCACTGGAGATTTAAACAAACAAAAACAACCACAAAACTTACTTAAAGATCCGTGACGACAGCTTTCTTCATCATGATCAGTTGCACTTTAGTGAACCCTTGTATGGTCACATACTGTTATCCAAACTAATAAGCAAAGGGAATCCAGATAATGTGGAACTGTCAGAGAATATAAACTTTTCTCTCTGTATGTGGTCTGAGCAGGTTTGAATTATATCCGTGCTTCTGCGTGAAATCTGTCACCACGCTCCATGAACTTACACCCTGCTGTCAAGCCGACAGGAGAAGAGCAATAGGTCTGATGTGGATTTTCAAAATAATCCTCTCATGTTATAGAGCCTTGATATAGAACACGGAAGTAAGGATGAAGTTACTGAAGATGAAGACAGAGAAAATAAGCAAGATAAAGTGTGTGTGTGTGTGTGTGTGTGTGTGTGTGTGTGTGTGTGTGTGTGTGTGTGTGCGTGAGAGAGAGAAAGAGAGTTTTGGATAATGTTAATTGAACTTACTAGGGCACTTTTGAATCATTTCCATATTCCAAGAACATACAGCTTGTGTATACAAAGTATATGCAAGCACATTATGTTATTCACAGCCGACCGCAGAAAGCAGGTCAATGTAAATACAAATATCTGTGATCCTCAAGACTTACACACCTTTTACTGACAACTATTACTACTTATAATAACAGCAATTATTATTAGTTAGGCTCAAGGCCTTAAGGGGGTCATATGATGGGATTTTTCTCTGTATGTATCATTGTAGTTTCTACCTTAGAATATAAAGCGCCTTAAGGCGACTGTTGTTGTGATTTGGTGCTGTATAAATAAAACTGAATTCAAATGAATTGACTTAATGGACTCTTCTGACAACTAATTGAGGGATTTGTTAAATTTCGACAGAAGTAGAGATATTTTCTACTAATACTACAAATTACAATAAACAGTCGAGGCTTTTATTTTGTAGGTTAGACTATCATCCGGTCTCGCGGGTACAGACTCCGAGAATGACGCTCACTCAGCCTCACGCAAAGCTGTTGAACCCTCTCAGCTGAATAGAGGTCCCCGTCCTGCGGCCAAACAACAGACCGCTCCTGGTTCTGAGGGGAACACCCACCCACACCCACAAACACCCACCGGACAGGACTGGGACTTTCTTTCTACGTTCAGTTGTTTTTTTTTTTCTAAACTGCGCTGAGAAATTCTTTCTTTCTCTTTTTTCCTCCCCGTCTGAATCGCGAAGTAGAGGTTAACCCCATCAGATACTTTCTGCTTGTTAGCGTGGATGTGAGTCTCCGTTTCTCTGCAGTCAGCACTATGGAGGGCTGATTCACCAGCTTTACACCTAACAGGTAAGTTCAAGGCCGTCCTTGATTAAAATTGATTAAAACAACAACAACAAAAAACAAGCAGGAGTTGTGGCAAAAGAACCTCTTGTAAAATTAAGAATAATAGCCTGTCTTCTCATTCAGTTTTTCTTTGTTAAAGACAGAAACCTGCTTGGTGGCATAATGCGCGTTGGAACATTTACAAGTATTATCATAACTTTAATTCATATTAGATACTTGTTTGACATGGAAGGTGGGCCTGCTTTGTAATTTTGCAGTATTGTGCTCGCAGTTTGTTTGGATATAACAGAATTTGTCAGCGTCACGCGCAGTCTCCGTGCCAGCTTACCCAGCACACTCAGACCAGACTGCTTTACAATGGACACAGAGCGGGACCACCGTGCGCACTCTCTTTGTCAGCTGATGTAGGAATGTGCAAGAGCTGTGCGAGCCAAATGTCAAATGCCTTGCTCACCTGCTAACATTCTCCTGGACATACGCGGCTGCCTCTTTACTGCCTCATTTAGAAAACAGAAATTACGCACTTTGTGTTCACTGAACTTGGACGGAGTTCACTGGCGTTTAGAGGCGTGAACATGGGCTCGCTCTCATTGTTGGGTAATGATTGTGGATGTTGTTTATGTCGCGTGTGGTGACGAGAAACATCTCATCAGCCTTTAGACAATGAGGAAGCTCACCCTAAAACAAAGACGTTTCTCTCATACATTGATGTTCTTGAGTGCGGGGTGAATGCATGGTTTGGTTGAAATGGCTAAAAAAAGGGAAGCTTGACTTTAGCTCAACAGCTGGTTCTCTGTTTTAAAACAGCTGTCAGATTTAATCCAGCAACATGAGAAACAGCTTAGAGATTGATTAAATCAAATCAGAGCCTCCAGAAAAACTCTCTTCTAAGTCTCGTGAGAGGGCAGTGATGGAAAGCAGGTTTTCTTCCCATTTTTTTTTTTTTAAAGGGGTCAAATGTTTTGATAGGACAATTCATATGCATTTTTAATGGCTGCATAGCCCGGTCTTGAACCTTGCTTATGTAGGTCCTGTCATTCAGACACTTTTGGAATAGCTGGCCATCTGCTTGCTGATGGTCTGTTCCAAAGCACGATATCGCATTACCCACGATGGACTGTGGGGGATGAAAGAAAGTGCTTTTTATTGCTTTATCACTTTGTAGAAAAGTTACACTATTCATAGATTTAAAGCCAGTTTGTCAGTTGTGCCATGTAAGCTGACTGTGGAGATGCTTGAATGAAAAGTTTGTAAAAGGGAATATAAAACTTTGTTTCTTTGAGGGTTTTTATCTTACAATATAAAGTGCCTTGATGTGATTGCTGTTGTGAATTGGGACCATATAAATAGAATAAAACTAATGTAAATGCTCTTTGAAGAAATATACCAATATAGCTTATGGTTGCCAGTATTTGTTGGTATCAACATTTTTGCGTGATATCAGACACACTGATTGGATTGCCTATTGGCAAACAATATATTACCAATTATGGTGGCTAAGGTTTTTGTCACAGTGTCACAAAATAAGGTGTTGAAGACCTGAAAGATTGTAAATCTGTTTCTTTTTGTAATGAATATTAGAGCCAAACTGCTATAGACATTTGAGGACAATATCGATATTCGGACACTTATCAATATATCAACCGATAGTTTATTTTTAAGCTAATTTCCTTAGCATTTGTTTTAAAATCTAAAATGTGTTATTTATTCACTTGTTTATGCATGTGTGGCATTCCAACTAACTGTTGTCATTATTAGGGAGTTGCAGAGTAACTTCTGGTGGACAAACTATGCAGCATCAATACTCATATCATGGCTGAATGATGATTTTCCCTGTCTCTTCTTTGCTTTTAAAATCTTTATTTATTGGCTATTAAAAATGATGATATTGGTAAATCATCATATAGCTAATATCACCTGATAACATTAGTCTGTAAGTAAATTGGTAGAGTTTTAATGAATCATTTTGGTTTTACCTAACACTAAAAGTGTAATAAAAACAACCAAAAGAAAATGGTGTTGTCGTTCATAGGTTTTTCTAAATACCGGTAACCAAACTTTAACAGTCAGTGCATCCATGATCCGTATACTGCTGTACTGCTTTGAGCTGTAGCTAGTATAACCTAGCAAACATTTTAGCTTGAATTAGCTAATGAGAACTTGCATATATTCATATATTGTCTTCATTTTTAGCGACATCTTTCTTGTCTTTATCGAGGTCCACAGTAATAATAAGTTGTGTATTCAGTCTGTTTAATGTATTGTAATTTTCTGAACTAACTTAAAAGTTGGAATCGACATTAGCTCGTGTTTTTGTTAGCTTTAAATATTAGGCTATTTCACTTTACTGTTTCAGGTGTTTCTGATGTATGACTGACAATAGGGCTGAATCTATAGATAGTGAATCTATTGTCTATCTATTACACACACAGAGAGATCCAAAAGTAAAAAATAAATAAATACATACATTGGACATTCAAAAATATAGTAAAAAGTAGTAGTTTAAAAAGTATAGTTTAAAAATTATAGTAAAAAGTGAATGATAATTGAAAGCCAGAATGGTTAAAATAACATGTAAGGTTTTATATGGTTTCAACAAACACACATTAATTTAGTTCTGTTTTTCACTTACAACCTTTTGTTAAATTTTGTTAGGCTTCAGACTCCATACAGCAAGAAATCTTCTGGGTCACACCCAAAACAGTATCGCAGGGCGGCTGCCATTTCTACATGGAGAGCTTTTGAAATCAAACTGTGGCTCATTATGCTCATTATATGTGGCATACAGCAAGCATTTAGGTTTCTTCCGGAGCCCAAACCTCTCAGACACACGGAGAGGAATGGGTCGAAGGCCACTTCAGCTGCAGCTGGTCATTGAAAAAGTGATGCTGCTCAAACCACCGCTTTCTAGCCCTTTCTGTGAGTCACAGAAGCAGGACTGCTCAGCACGCATGCAGCAAGGACAGGGCTTTTTGATTTATAGGTATCAAGTGTTGACTGCACTGTAGGTTAAGTAGTTTGCCTTTAAACAGCGAGAAAAGTGGAAATGAGTGGGAACAGTAAATGGAGTGCTTTTTCCTTTTGAAATCAGAAGCCTCCTCAGCAGGCCGTCTCATCCATAACCTTCTCGGGTGTCACATACCGTAGTAAGATGTGAGATATATTTTTAGCAGCATTTTTTAGTAACACAGGCATCGGTTGCTAATCATAAAAACAGGAAAGGATGTGATCCCTTGCTGAGTTTTGATGAGCGCTTGTTAATGAGTAACTGTGTTGTTAAGTTGTTAGGTGATTTCAAGGCACTTGTTTGCTTAATCATAATCAGAAACATGAACTGGCATGGAAAGAAATGAGAGGGCACACAGCCTATCCAAGTAGGTGCATTATGTGCACACCAGATTCTGATGATAGAAGTATTAGGGCGTTCCCCATATTGGTCACTGCAACAGCTGGTGGTCCCTTATGGTACATTCTTCTGTGTGTGTGTGTTTGTGGTTGTAGGGTGTGGGAGTGGAGAATCTGCAGAGAACACTTGCTGGGGCACCACTGTGGCCACAGGCATCCCTAGGAAGATAAAGGAAACTAAAAGGCATTGTTCAAGCTCTCGGCCTGTATTTTCTTCTCTTCTCTAACTCCAAGCTGCTTCTTTTATCGGTTTTCCAAGCTTAGTTAAGACAACTCACATTTGGTTGACCCTGCTTCAGATACGCTTGCTATCTCCTGGCTAGATTGGATCTTAGGCCTCAGTAAGCTCTCGCGGGAGTTGGCTGACAGTCAGATTGGCAGCCTAATAAATACTCCTTTTCATTAGGAGCAAGCTTTCATTCACTGTACTTAAATGGAAACCCCCTTTCAATTCCCTCATCCTATTGACCATACAGGATTTACAATAGAGGTGCAGGGAGTTTGTCAAGAAAAGCACACACACACACACACACACACACACACACATATACGTCACATACTGAACCTTGATTCATATCTTTGGTTCCGCTGGAAGGGTGCAATATAATGAGTGAAAAATTCAGCCTGAACTCTTCTTGGTAGAATCAGTTAACTAAGCAGATGGATGGGGGTGCCCAGATAACCACCAATCCACAGATAAGGTTTCATTTCTTGGCTGTGTTAGGAAGTGGAAAGCTGGTTACTCATTGTGGTTAATCTGTCTCACTTCTTTTGTCTACAACACCTTATCTAACAATTTATCTCCTATGACTTAAAACATGCCCCTTGGAAATTGTAGGAAAGATTTTTTTTTTTTTTAGTGGGAAATCTGACAGGTTTGTAGAAATTTGAATTAGATTGACTCAAAAAATACAATTTCATTGTACTTTTGTTCTGAGGAACTCCACAAAGAAAAGTAGTAATATTCTAGAGTAATTTAGAGAAATTTCAAAGGCAGACTTGGTGTTTTGGAGTGCTTGACTGACAGTGTCCTAAAAATGTTTCTGTAGTGTGGTGTACAATACCTGGTATTTCATTTGAGTTTAGAAGAAAGCATAATGCGTCCTATGTGGTTGCCCCTTAATTTGATTGAAGATGTGTTACTGCCCAGGTGTTAAGAATATTTACCACACTTACCTTTTTGTTCATGGACAGGAAACAGCATATTTTTTTTATACAAATAAAATAATCTCACAATGAGTGTAGATGTGACAGTAACTTCTATTACTAATAATGTTTATTTTACAAAACTTTCCATTGAGCAAGCTACTTACCTCATCGCAGAATAATGCTGGCGGATAAAGGAGTGCCACTTGTTCTCTTTGTTGTGTTAGCAGCTCTTTCCTAGCTGATATTTTATGAACACATTAGTAGTTTTTATCTTGCTCTCCGCCCTTTTTTTCTTCTTTCTTATCAACTTAAATAAATGCTTTTAATTGGGTTTTTATTTTCCATAACTAAATTATTCATCTTCTCCCTTTGTTCTTTGGATTGCTTATCACACTTGCACATGAAGCTGGAAAGCTTGAATATTATACTGATGTTTTCTTGGGGGGGGG